CTGCTCTGCACACATATCCTGCTGTGTGATTCTGTCCATTAATGAGGTAGGAGTTCTGTTCAGTCCAGTTGGTTCCGCCAGTCAGCAGCTCTAAGCTGTAGGAGCTGCTGGATTTTGCTGGAACCACTTTATACCAGAAGAACCTCCATCCTGCAGATGGATGCTCCAACCCCCCACAGCTCAGAGTCACTGAGGCTCCAGGACTCAGCCATGATGGAGACACAGAGAGGACAGGCGGAGGTTTATCTGAGGGAGACACAGAGAGGACAGGCTGAGGTTTATCTGCTGGAAAGAGAGTTTTCCCGAGTGAAAGAACTAATTGGAACTATTTTGTAAGACCAACTTCTATTTGTCAAATTCAATTGCTGAATAATTGTATGATTTCTTGCAAAACTCACAGTTTTGAAAACTATAACAGAGCATATAGCTTTTAAAGTTTTTAGAATTATTTCTTAATCCCAGGATTTTTTTTCATCCTTTGCTTATTACCTAATATATCCAGACAGGCAGTTTTCACTGAACTTAGACTTTAATTATACTTTTTCAGGTCATTTTAAATGTGTTTTTTTTTTCATTAAAAAAAATGACAACAAACTGACTATTTGTCAAACTGTTGTCATTTTTTAATACACCTCTCTCTAGCTTTTGAAATATACACTAAAAACACATAGCAACAAAAAACCAACACTTAGAGCAAACAGTCTGTATTTCAAATGATTTTGAGTCCCTTTTAAAGACTAATTTTATGGAAGTTGTTTCCTAATACAGTTTAGATCTCTCAGGCTGCTGTTAGAAATAGATTTTTCATCAGTTTTTATATTATTTTAACATTCTTTTAAATGTAGTGCTGTATTGTATTGCCTATTATATGTGTTCTATTTCTTTGTTTTTATTACTGCATTGTAGGTTACTTTGTTCAAATTGTGCGTGTAAAATTCCCTATACTGTAATTAGTTTGATTGATTCATTCATAACATACTTAAGAAAAAGAGCAAGTCACCTCTGCAACCCAATAAACCACCTTCTCCTTGTTGTTAGGAAGGTTAGTTGGTAATCTGCTAAATATGTGCTAATTATTTAATATACTGTTGTTTTCTGATGAAACAAAAATTCCAAGTTATCTTATTTTGTTTTTATTTTAAAACCACTCTGCAAAGCTATTAGTGTAGAACTGTGGCACTGTCTAATTTTTTCTTCATTTTTTATTGTGGGTGATTGTGGTCTGATTTAAAAGTTGATTCCCAGGTTTTGATATTTAGTTTCATGCACATATTTACTTTTATAAAGAAATATTTCATCAAAGATTTATAATTTCATTTACTTCAAAGTAAAAACAATAATTATGATTGTGTAAACATGAGAAACTCACTTAATACAGTTATTTGGAGAAGTCCCCACTCTGTTGTAATATAGCCACCTGTTCTTCCTCTGCATCGATAATTTCTACTGTCAGCTGCAGTAATCCTGTATTCACTGGATGTTGCAGAGTTACTGTTGCTTGGAATCCATTCATACGTCCACTGAGCTCCTCCACCTCCATGGATCTCACATCTCAGAGTGACTGTCTCTCCTCTGAACATCTGAGACCAGTTTGGTTGTTGGGTCACAATCGGTGTGATGCGAACTGTTTACATGATTAAAGAGAATCAAGAGAAATATCTTAACAGCTTTCATTATGACTGACAAAACTAAACAAAACGCTCACTGTTAGAGGTGGATAGGATAAAACTGAAACTTTCTAAATAATTGACGTGGATAAAATTAGGTATACAGTATGTATGTACTGTGGCAAGATAAGTCAACAATTTGAATCAAATATGTTAGATATGTTGATGCTGTAAACTCCTGTATCAATATTAAAATAGAAAAGTCATTATGTCTAAAGGTCTGGACACAACATGAATGGTGCTTTGAAGTATCATCTTTATATAATTGAATTACAGATTTTAGTTCATAAAAAGACTTGTTAAAATTCAAAGCGCTTAGGTTGTGAAATATAAGTTACACCCGAAAGGTTTTTCAACACACATTACACTGTAAGAATGTTTGTTTAATCCCTTCATGTCAGGGTTTGGTCGAGGTTTGAGGACCCAAATGCAGAGGCAGGGAGGCAGAGGTGAGTTTTTGAAGATTTAATGAGAGGTAAACAAATGACTGAGACAGGAATCCAAAAATCCAACAAGAAAAAAGTTAAACAAACCAGAAACCATGGGGACATCAGGGGAAAGCAATCATGACAAGGTAAGACACTGTAAGATGGTGTA